AAGAGGGAGAGGACTTGATGGATTACTGTCATGAATGAAAATCTGAAAAAATAATGGGAATAAAATTAAGATAGTAATTCTAGGAAAAACCAAACTGGGAATATAAAAAAGGTAATTGGTAATTGTAGAAAAACAAAAACAAGAAAGGAAATATAATCAGAGTCTATGACTTTGTTTTGCAATGAACAATCTTTACATAGTCAATAATTAAAAACCATATTGATTTTTAAATTTTAGATAAATCTAGAGTCAAAGCACAAAAGACTTAATTATGGTTATAAAAATGTGAACACTGACAATCTAGAAGTAAAGTACAGTTGAGAGAGCCTGGGAGGTCAAGGTGTAGGAGGGTGTGTGAAAAGTTGAAGGGATACTAATATTCTCACTTTACAATCTGGGGAGTTAAGAGATATTGTTTATATTTAAAGGACTAGGAAATGATTCTGTGGATGTATTACTTAAAGGTGCAGAGGTAGGATGTAGGAAAAAATTAAAAAACAGGTCGTTAGGATGGTGATCAACAATGAGGAGTGAATAGAAATTGTGGTACACCTCCTTGATGGAATATCATGCAGTCAATAACGTGGATGTCATTTAGATATAGGAAAATGTTTGAGATATTATTTTAAGTGGGAAACACTAGAGTATAAAGTTTTAGTTATAAAATGTTATCTAGTTATTTCTGATGATAGGCTTGTGGATAATTTATCTATACTTCATTCATTCAACAAATTTTCTATAGTTCATCCATTTAAAAGGTTTATTAGGTTGGGCTGGCCCCATGGCTTAGCGGTTAGGTGAACGCACTCCGCTGCTGGCGGCCCTGGTTTGGATCCCGGGCACGAACTGACGCACCGGCTTCTCCGGCCATGCTGAGGCCGCATCCCACATACAGCAAGTAGAAGGATGTTCAGCTATGACATACAACTATCTACTGGACCCTTAGGGGGAAAAATAAATAAATAAAAAAATTTTAAAAGGTTTGTTAGGTATCTACTATGTTTTGGCTCTGCGCTAGGGGTTGGAATAATGGATATGGCAGTTTATAAAGACAGTCAAGTCTCTGCCACACAGCTTATGGTCCAGCAAGGAAGAGACATATTGTACCACTAATGATTAAAAAATGTGAACTTTATGATAAAGGACATCCATGATGTTAGGAGAACATAGAGCACAGGTCCTAAACCTAATCTAGGAATCTAGGAAAGATTCCTTCAACCAATTACTTTTAAGTTTTAAGTGAGTTTTTTTTTTTTTAAGCAGAGATTCACAATTAGGAACACACAGTTATCTCAATTATGTAAAATGTATGAGCTGAGCAAAAATTCTCAAGGGAAACAACAAAATATTAACTGATGTTATCTTGAGATTCTGGAATCTGTGGAATTTTGTATTCTTCCTTATGCTTTTCTGATTTTTCCAAGTTTTCTACAAGGAGGATGAATGGCTTTGATAATCAGAAGAGATTAATAAAAGTTTCTGTTACTGGTGAAGCAGTTAGACATTTGTCCTGTTTGAGATCCTTTCCCTAGCCCTACCTATGGAAGCAGAAGGTAGTTGGTTGCTAATCTATCTGAAATACAGCTACAAACAATTACCAACCCCCCTGTCCACCCAAGGCATTTTTAAAGGCTGTCATTGGAGGTGGTGGATTCCTTTCAACAAACGTTTCAGTTAGCAAACTTGGAGACTGTCTTTGTTTTGTCTTTGTCTATGAACTTTGCTAATAGAAGCGCATGTTGTGATATTCCTCAAAAGTGCAAGGAGATGCAGATGACAGGAATAAGTGCCGCAGTTGCCTATTATTTCTAATATTTCTTTATTCGTTGGAGTGCTGTGCCATGTCTTTTTAAATTTAACTATATCATATATTATGTTTTTATTGAAAAATGTGGTTTAAAATGTGAAGTAATCTCTGTTTTTGTGCCCATGTTTCTTGAATTGTGTTTTTAGGTTCTAAAAGCATTTAAATTGGTTCTCCAATGACTCCTTTCAAGAAGTTATTCCTACATGTAAGATTAAATTTGTCAGTGGTGATTTTTATGGACTTGAGTATTTAGTTTACTGTACATGTAAGTCCTCTGCGTTATGTTATTTCTCCAATTACACATTTGTATCATTATTTTGAGAATGACATCACTCTATATCAAGATTTCTTTTTTCTAAGGTGAGCTAAGGTGGAAAATCAAATTAATGTATTTTAAGTTGGCAATGCATTTAAAAACCTCATGTTATAATTACCAGATTCAGCTGAAAGGTAAATTGCAGTGTGTGCACACAGAGATTTAAAATCAGGTGCTGGGGCATCAGCATGCGTAGAGAATCTTGGTGTTCTCATGCATTAGGAGAGAGATCAATATAGGGAAAGTCTAAGAAAAAGTACCTCAGGATTGGTGTGTGAATATGTTGATTTACCGAAATTCATCTTCTCACTTCAAGTTGTTTGTGTGTCTCTGCTGGAAAAGGAAGTTCAAGGATATTGTTATATTATGGAAATAATACAGGCTGGTCGTCAAAAGAACTGGGTTCTAATTCTGACGTTACCACTAACTGTTTGAGTGGCTTCCAGTAAGTCACTTAACCTCTCTGGTTCTCATTTAAACCAAATGATCTCTTAAAGTTATTTCTAATGTGAACATGCAATGATTTGATGAGATCTAACTTTTGGATAAATTGTGGTGAGTAGGGGGTGCTCTGCACAGTCCCTCCTCCTTTGGGATCTGGGCCTTTTGTTCCTCACTGCTAGTCAGAGCCACTCTGTCCCTAACCAACTACCTACTCTAGGGAAATCTCACAGCAGGGATTCAACAGTGATGAGGGAGCTATACTAAAACAATATCTTCCATATGGCCCAATAGGAGAGAGATCTGAAGGGGTGTGGGGCTAGTCCAAGCGCAAACCATGTTGTGTCTTCCCTGGAGGGGCCTCCCAGGCCTCCTCAGCTAAAGCCATGGTCTTATCCCTTTCCTAGTTCTTCTGTATCCATTTACCTGCACTTCCCCTTCCAAATCTACTTTCACCTCCAGATTGACATCCAAGCTGAAATCTGCCAATGAGGATAGAGAAGCGTTCATAAAGGAAAGTAAACAAAATAGTTGAGATCCATTCCAACTTAAAAGAGAAAAAAAGCCCACAATAACAAAAACTGAGGTTCTATGTGCTCTCTAACCAACATAAAACACAGCTTTCCTCTAAAGGCTCAACTTTTTTCCACAATCACGATCTTCTATTAACAATTCACATCTTTCCCAGAACACACATGTCTTTCTCTGTTCTCTTAAGTCAAAAGTACGTTCCATTGCACAATGATCCAACTATGGGCTGACTTCTCTGGAAACTGCCAGAATTTCTCTTTCTACCTTCCTTTTGTTTCTAAGAGCAGTTGTGGATTAGTAAAGACCCAAAATAGGAGTTGAAATACTCATTTCATCATTTGTCATGTTAGCTACAAAGGAAGCAGCAGAGGTAACCAGAAATGAGGAACAGGAAATTTCTGATAAACAACTCTGATGGTTATCTAGAAGCTGAATTGAATCATAGACACCAGAGTTTGGAATTGCTTTTTGAATTGCAGAATTAGAGGTAACTGCCTCCCACCTATATGATAGTGTCAATTTAATTTGAAATTTGAGTGTGGTTTTATAGGCATTCAATTCTGTGGTAGTGCCAGAGAGCATCTATTTACTTATCAGACTCCCATGGAGCACATTTGGATTTGGAAAAAGAAATGATTAAAAAACAAAACAAAACAACCCGGGTGCTTCTGATATGGATACTATCATGGATGTTAATAGTATTTAGAAGTAAAATGAATAAAATTACCTTTTTAAAGTCCCAATATTCATCAATGAAAATATGCAACTGATGAATTCAGCCCTGTTATCAAGCAGTTTAAGCCTTTTCCAATAGAATATGAAGTTAGAATGAATGCCTCTCATTGGGTTTGTATTGAATAGACTAAATAAAGATTATTTAACTCATGCACCTCTTACTGGTCCTCTCTCTCTCTAATTTGGGAATAGAAAAGTCCACAATTAATTTCAGACACTGAGAGGAGAGACAAAGGAGGAGCAGCGAGGTTCTGGGAAAACTTAATATCTCTGCTGCACCCCTGACCACAACCACCCTGGTTTGTGCCCCTTCATCATAGGGGTAGCTCTTGCCATAATTTAAAAAAAAACTTAGCTGCGTTTCAAGAGACTTATTGGTCTTGCCTCTGCAGACTCATAATTCCTTCATCTGTTTTTGGGAAGAAAAAGCAGATAGAGGCTTAAGGGCTGGGTGTCCCTGTACTCCCATCTCTTTGTTCTTCATTCTTATCCAGGCAGAAAGGTGATAGGACACTTTGTCTCTAGCAAACGGATATTTTCAGATACTGAGGTGTTGCCTGAGACAACTAATCGGAGAAGTTAGGAGGGAGAGGGAAAAGGAGGATCCAGATCCACCCCTAGAACTGGTTGCCGCTTTCCCCACAGGACTGTGCATTGATAGACCTCCCTTCCCTCGCACTTTCCCTTCCTCTCTCCTCTCATTTGCTGTCTCTTTTCTGCCCTCAATTTGGCCTTTCATAGTAAGAGGTCAGTATGTTTTCACACTTGGGAAATTTCATTCAAGAATTTTTGTCAATGGACAAGTCATAAGGAGCCCTTCCATTTTAAGGCTCGTTGACGTCACTAAGGAGGCGATAAATATCTGTTGATATAATTGGATGTGAGATTCAGTGTTGAGATAGCAAAAATTCTGCCCCTCGTTCCCTGGCAGGGCCCTATGATTTATGCAGGAGCAGAGGCAGCACGCAATCGAGCTGTCAAGAGAGCGTCAGCTTATTAGGCAAATGCTGCGTGGTTTCTGAAGAGGGTCGACGCTATAAAATCTCACTCCAGGCTCTGGTGTGGAGAAACTCAGAGCCCAAGTCCATTGAGAGACTGAAGAAAAAGAGAAGAGGGAGAGAAAAAGAGAGCGGGGACAGAAAGGAGAAGGGAAGAAAATCCCTGAAAAAGCCCCGGAGACGTTCCTCTGCAGAGAGGCGGCGGCGCCCGGCTCACCTGCAGAAGCGCCTCAGAAGGTAGGGAGCGCATAGACGGAGACGCGCCTCCAACTTTGCACTGCCTGAGCTTTCCACGGTGTGCGCCGCGGAGCGAGCTGTCCCTGTGCGGGCGTGTGTGTGTGTGTGTGTGTGTGTGTGTGTGTGTGTGTTTGCTGACTGTGCCTCAAGATTCCAATAGTAGCTGGGATGTGGCAAAAGCAAACTTAGACGGCTGCTCGTCGTTACCCGAGCTGGCAGTTACTCCTCGCTGGCTGCGTGGACGAGCCCCTCATCTGTCCCGACCCCTGAGAGAAGGACGCAAGGGCAGGGGTGGAGAAAGGGGAGGAGGAGGCAGCAGTTCTCAATTTGGAGGAAAACCCTGAAACATCAAGAAATTGGGGGAGGAGCGAGAGCGGCAGAGATCTTTAATTTGTAGCTCTTCTCTAGAGCTCGGGGAATCAGTTTTGGGGATCGTTAGAAAGGGGACTCAGGGACTGTCCCTTCGGAGGTCTCTGAAGGAGAAGGGTCACGCCAGCCTGCTCCCCAGCTCTCTCCAACTCTAGAAGTCCTAGTTCGGGAGCTTCAGCACCGAGGACAGCGCCCACCCGAGCCCCTGAGCCACTCCTAAGCGGGTCCTACGAAGACCTCCCCCCTCCCCAAGTGCACCTCCCAGTTGAGCTAAACTCTAACCAACTCTTTCTTTCTCTCTTTCCTTCTCTCATTCCGCTCTCTGCCCATCTCTGTGCCGCAGCTAGCGCCCCTAACATGCGGCTGCCGCTGCTTGTGTCCGTGGGCGTCCTGCTGGTGGCTCTCCTGCCCTGCCCGCCATGCAGAGCCCTCCTCAGCCGGGGGCCCGTCCCGGGCGCCCGGCAGGCTCCACAGCACCCGCAGCCCCTGGATTTCTTTCAGCCGCCGCCGCAGCCCCAGCAGCCGCAGGCTCGGCCCGTGCTACTCCGCATGGGGGAGGAATACTTCCTCCGCCTGGGGAACCTCAATAAGAGCCCCGCTGCTCCCCTCTCGCCCGCTTCCTCCTCTCTCGCCGGCGGCAGCGGCAGCGGCCTTTCTTCGGACGAGGTGGCCGCCAACTTTTTCCGCGCATTGCTGCAGCAGCTGCCGCTGCCCCGGCGCCCGCTCGACAGCCCAGCGGGTCCCGCGGAGCGCGGCGCCGAGAACGCCCTCGGCGGCCGCCAGGTGGCACCGGAGAGGGAGAGGCGATCCGAGGAACCGCCCATCTCGCTGGATCTCACCTTCCACCTCCTCCGAGAAGTCTTGGAAATGGCCAGGGCCGAGCAGTTAGCGCAGCGAGCTCACAGCAACAGAAAACTGATGGAGATTGTTGGGAAATGAAACGGTGCGTTTGGCAAAAAAGATTCTGCATTTAGCACAAAAAGTAAAAATAAAAAAGTAAAAACAATACAGTATTCTTTACCATAGCATTGCTCTGATAACCATTTGTTTATTTTTATATAGCTTGAAACGTAGAGGATGTACAGCGAGAGCCTGTACTCCTTAATTAGCATGCACAAAGTGTATTCACGTGCAGTAACAGCAACACAATGTTATTTGTATTGTCTACTTTTAGTTTCCATTTCCAGGTGTCTTTAATGGTGTTTTAAAGAGAGTATAGACCCAGGAGGAAACGTTTTGAAGAAGCTGACAGAAGTCACCCAATTGATTTTGTTGTGGTCTGAGCCAAAGAGAATGTCATTCTCTTGGTGGGTGAGACAAAATCTGTAAGCTCTTTGAATCAACTTTTCCTTGTAAACGTGTCAGTAATAAAATGTCTTTCCAATCCTTGGCCAATTTGGTTGTGTAAGAGAATGTTGAATATTTATATTTTTAATAAAAGCTGCAAAGGTAATCGTGACTTTATTTTTCCTCTTCAATGTTCATAGGGGAAATACTCTCAGCTCCTGGTTGCCTCCAAACTGACTTCAACACAAAAAAACCCACAAAACTTCTTTCATTTTACTTTCTACTAAAAATACAAACATATGTCAGTGGCTTACACAGATCCAGCAATCTCCTTGGGCTCATCTCTGTACCTCAGAATACTCCTCTGAGATTGACTTAATTTGTGAAGTTGCTTCCAGCTCCAAGACTTGGTAATTGTCAAACTGGAAGATTGATTCATAATGGAAATAACATTTAATCCTGATTAACTAAGATGTGAAATAATTGGGGAGAGTGGGGAGGGAGGAAAGGAAAAGAGGAGAAGGGTTGAGGCAGGGCATTCCTCCAAACTATAGGGCCAGCAAGCTGCATTTTTCTTTTCTAAAAAAAGGCTACTACTTTGGTATCCTCAAGTATTTTTTTCTAAGCTGTTTTCCAATGCCTCCTTCTAATAGGAGAAACTTGATAGCCTCTCCACTTAAAACAACTAAATTTAGTTGCTAGAAAATGGGACTTGGGAAAATTTTTCTTATAAAGAATATCTTGACTTTAATAACTTGATAAATATCCTTCTCATTTCTGTGTATGCCAACCCTAATCACTTTAATTCTTGGAAATATAAACTATCTCTATTCACTTCTAAAATCAAACAGCACATCTAATTAGTTTTATAATGCATTTGCCTTTGGTAGTTTAGTTATAACTTAACAAATTCAATTGAATGTTTAATACTTTGAAATTATTTTGGATGTATGAAGATGCTTCTTCCCTTGGGACCCTTTAAATACACTTGACTAATGGATTAATGAGATAATATGAAACACTGAATAAATCATTATAAGACTAAGTTGTTAAAAACAGCATTTATTTAAGAGTTCATACAGAGTAAAGTTATACTTATGTTCTGAAGGAGGCATTATGGTGGGAGAAATAAAGCATGATTGAAATATATACATATATATAAAATGTGAATTACGTGTGTATATATATTTAAATACATGCAGTTGCTCTGAGTTGTGCATTGATTGGTGCCACAGTGGATACATGAGAAAGTAGACAGTTCCTAGTGGAAGGTCTTTTTCAGTTAAAGTGACTGATATCTGCACATCTAAAACTAAGATTAGAAAAATGTCACAAGAAATGTTCTAGGCTTTCAGCCTTCTGGACTGTGAAAGTGTCACCAGAGTCAAAGAACATTTCTGGATATACATTCAGTGACATCTATTATGGAAAAGAGGTGACTTGTGTGAAACATTTCACACTTTTGGTCACTGCTGTACCTTTTGTCCATACATTGATGAATCAGTCACTCTGAACTGGCGCTGAACCTCACTGACCACCTGCATGGTTGAAGGGAAAGAGGATAAGAGCGACTATGATATAACAACAAAAGCAGTGCCTATGAGAGACGAGAATGTAGTGCCCACTGTTTTCAACACTTGCCACTTGTTACTGACGCACACACACACACACCACACCTACACACCCTTCATAATGTTTCCCACACAATAAAAGATTTGCATAAGATCAAGTTTCTTTTTTTGAATATCTTCTGCAACTATTTTCTCAAAGTATTGTTTTCCCTCAATGTGTTAGATAAGTCATCTGGAATTCAAGGGTGTTTTTTGCAGAAATCCTGTTCAGAGGTCCCTTTCATCATCTGCATCATGTTAATTTCATCTGGGTTCCCTGCTGCCTGTGGTATCTCAGCCAGGCAGACAGAGGGGCAGCAGTTGGAATGAACATCATTCATTCAGGGAGTTCAACCAGGAAAAGGAGAAGACATGGCGAGCTGGCTCAGAATCAGCTCCATTCCCACTGCCTGAAGCTGCAGCCTGTCCCTGGAGGGGAGGGTTCTCAGATCCAATCTGCAACAGAAGAAAATTTGAATCAGAGGAAGAAGAGGCTAGTCCTTTTGGGATTGGTCCAGTCACTTTTCTACTGAGGAGAAAGGATAATAATAATAATAATTATACAGGACACAATTATTATTAGGGATAGAAAGCAAGCTCAGGTTATCTTGGCCATGGCCAAGAGCCATGAAAGTGACTCACACTCATGATCCAAAGAGGGGCAACAGTAATGCATGCAGTGGCGGGAAGTTCTTGGGAAAGAGTCCAGGCTATTCGACATTTTTTTTAAGTCCACTTGTACATGATTTACTGAGATGAAAGTCGCATTGAAACTAACAGGAATTTGGGTTTAGAAAAGTCTGTGGAATAAATAAAATCCTAATTTAAATGACATTGCTACATCACATGACATCCCAGGACATATTATTATAATCTCTTCACTGCTAAATTAAGAATTTCTATCAGGATATGAATATATATATTAATTTTTGCAAAACTGCAGGCTTAGTTTTGAGCAAATCATGAATGAAAGGACTTTTTTTCTTTAAGCGATAAAATCTAATAACATCAATATTTCTAAAGCGATATCTATCTTTTATGTAGACTTCTCTATAAAAGGTATCTATTTTATAGATACTAGACAGATACAAATTGTGATTTTGAAATAATTGATCAATTTAATCTCATAAGTGAAATTTATTTATGTTGTTTCGAGTTTAAAAAATAATAACAATGCAATGAGGGACAATCATAAAGAAGTCTTGCTGAAATGCAATTTGATGTATATATTCAAACTCCTTACATTTTTTTTTTTTTTATAATTTTATTTATTTACTCCCCCAAAGCCCCAGTAGATAGTTGTGTGTCATAGCTGCACATCCTTCTAGCTGCTGTACGTGGGACGCGGCCTCAGCGTGGCCGGAGCAGCGGTGCGATGGTGCGCGCCCGGGATCCGAACCCGAGCCGCCAGCAGCAGAGCGCACGCGCCCAACCGCCAAGCCACGGGGCCGGCCCTCAAACTCCTTACACGTAAGGGTACCATGACAAACACAGTTCTTCCTAGAACTACAAAGACAGGCTAATATATTCTGATGACTTCACTGGAAAATTATCCCACTGGATTAGAATGCCACTGATTGATATCAAAGCAATGAGGTAGGCACATGCATTCAGCTCAGAAGCCCCGGTGATCTCAGGAAGCTGCTATATGAATGGGCAACACTTGGCACAGGCAAAGCAGAACTGTGGTAAGTATGTTGCTTTGTTGCCACTCAAAATAGTTTTGAGTGAAAAATGAGTGTTTGTCCTACGCTTTACCAGATTTTACCCTAAAGATATGTTTTGGGGTAATGTTTCAAGTTCAGTAAAATTATCCCAAGTCTTTATGGCTTTGAGATTATCCCTCCCATTGCCTTGTTGCTCACTGATAGGAAGTTAAGAAGGGCCATGAACTCATATTAGCCTAAGTAGAATAAAACTGAAGCATGTAGTTTTCTATGAAGGAAGAGTTAAGACATCAAGTGCAACTGGGCTTTTTAGAAAGGCTGCTAGTAGATTCTGTTGGTAACGGGTTAGCTACCTCAGTGTCTTTGGAGTTGAGGTGGAATAAACATCATCCTCACAGAATCCTGTGCCTTTTGGTGCACATCAAACTCTCCTCTTCCCCATCATAGTCATCTTACTCTCATGAATCCTAAAACAACCCCCAGTGATCTGGGCATATCACTGATGTGTAAAGTCCTTTTCTCTAACCATTCTATAGGGGGGAATGTTGAATTCTGCCTAGATGAACAGACCATCAGGGTCCATCTTGTAGCCTCTCTTCCTTGAAGGCAATTCCTAATCTGGAAGGAAACTTCCATGACAGTTGTTCTGAAATATCTAAAGGCTGAGACTGGAAGGGTCAAGTATTTTCTGCAGAGGGATACAATCCTTGTGAAACTGCTGGTGGCTAACAAACCATTTGGAACTGCTTTTGGAATCTGTATATATTTTTGTGCTTTTCTGTACTCAAGATTAGAATCTATCTTCCATTTAAAATGGTTTAGCTGTTAATACCCTACAGCCTCCAAACTTGGCATTAAATAGTTTGGGTTTGCTGCGTTTACACCCCCATGTTTTCAGTCAGCTATTAGATTTTCCTCCAAACAGTGTGGAGTGATGTTATCTTTCAGAGGAGAAAGGCCAGTGCGAGAGTGGGGACCAGGAGCAGAGATTATCCTGAGTATCTTTAGGTGATTACACCATCTCCTTGGTCTTGTTTATGTAAACTGGAGGACCCACCAACCATCTCAGCAAGGAAGTTTTATGCAAAGAGGCTTAGCCTGGCTCTGAATCCCAGACTAACCACTTATTAGCTGTATGACTCAGACAAGTCACTTAACCTCTCTGAGCCTTAGTTTTCCCTTTTGTAAAACAGAGATGAGACTGTATTTCACAAGGTTGTTGTAAGGACTAAATAAACAAAGTAATACCCCTAAAGCATTTTGCACATGCCTCAGTTACATTAAGCGCTTCATAAATGTCCATTTCCTTCCTTCCTTCCTTTTATTTTCCTTTGATTTCCTTCCTGTTACTATCAAATGTCCTTTGAGAGGAAAAAAATTAATGTTGGATTATGGTACAAGGGTATCATTTCACTGAGGAGGAGCAGGGTGATTAGAGGTGCTTCCATCCAAACCTGTGTGATGGGCAGGCATAATCCTTGACAAGTTCTGTCACCTAGAACCATTTCTTGTCGATGGGGATTAAGGAGCATGCACTCTGCAAGAGGCTTGTGGACATCTGTCTCTGTGTGCAGGACAGTTCCAGGTTGTAGACAGTGTTTGCTTGGCCAGAATGTGTGGCTGCATGGTATTTTGGAAAAAACTTGAACTAGTGGCAAAAATTTAAAAAATGGGGAGCAAGGATGTAGAGAAGTAGAAACTCTGGTGCACTATTGGTGGGAATGTAAAATGGTACAACTGCTGTGGAAAACAGTATGGTGGTTCCTCGAAAACTTAAACGTAGAATTACCATATGATCCAGCAATTCCATTTTTGGGTATATGCCCCAAAAAACTGAAAGCAAGGAGTCACATAGATATTTGCACACCTGTGTTTATAGCAGCACTATTCACGACAGCTAAGAGGTGGAAGCAACCCAAGTGTCCATTAATGGGTGAATAGATAAACAAAATGTGGTATATACATACAATCGAATATCGTTCAACTTTAAATAGGAAGGAAATTCTGACACTTGCTATATCATGGATGAACCTTGAGGACGTTTTACTAAGTGAAATAAGTCAGTCAGAAAAAGACGAATACTGTATGATTCCACTTATATGAGATATATAGAGTAGTCAAATTAATAGAAACAGAAAGTAGAATGGTGGCTGCAAGGAGCCGGGAGTACAGGGCAATGGAGAGTTGCTGTTTAATCGGTATAGAGTTTCAGTTTTGCAAGATGAAAAAGTTCTGCAGATTGGTTGCACAACAATGGGAACATCCTTAACACTACTGAACTGCACACTTAGAAAGGGTCAAGAGGGTAATTTTTATGTTATGTGTTCTTTACCACAATTAAAAGTTCTTTTTTTAATTAGAAGACCTCACATTAAAATTTGGATTTGCAGGTTCTTTTGACAAAGCAGAAATTTAGTAACCCAGAACCTGCATGGAGAGCTGAGCAGCACTGCCCCTTTGGACTGGGTGTGCTCTCTCTCTCCTCTTTCCAGTGCCCACCACTGCCCTTTACCTCCCTGCTGCAAGGCTGGTTTCAGCGGCCATTTATTACCGTGCTTGTACAGTTGCTATGCTCAGAGTAGAGCTAAGAGGAAAGCAAACTGTGTCATGTATTCATGCTTCTACTATCACTTTTCTTTTACCTGGCCTGCTTTTTCATTAATGTTACCTTCTTGGTCTCTAAAGGCACACAAGCTTGTTGCTCTTAACAGAAGGCTAGTTTTTAGTAGGAAGGTGTCAAAGAAAAGAGTAAAATGCTCAGTGGTCTTTGGCTTAATTTTTATGCTAATTGTGATCAATTAAAAAAAAAGCCAACTGCTTCTTGTGGCAAGATTCTTGACAATCAAAGCATGAAGCTGCCTTCAGTGTTCAATTGCGGCCAGATGTGTCCCTGGGTGCTTAGTACAGGGGATATAACTGGGTGCAGATTGGTGAACATGCTCTTGTTCTGGCTTGGGGGCAACACCAGCAGCCCTCTTTACCTAAATGCACCTTGCACCACATGACTCACCGAATGAACAAAACTAAACAGATGATTTCCCAATATTCACTCGGGCACAAGTCTGGGTAAACACATTCAGGAGGGAAATAATTTTTTTAGCTGGCCCAAAGTGAAAGAGTGAGCTCTGCCAGGTCATTTTGATCAGTAACCAGTGAGTGCCCTCAGGCTGCCTCTAGGCTCCCCAGGACCTCCATGAAGTGCCAGCCTTAGCCCTTCCCCAAAACATCTTTCTCTACACCACCCACAATCCTGATCCATTAAAAAGTACCTGTCCTGTTCCATTTTCTCAGGGTTATCCAAGTGATAGTAATCGACCTGATAAACTGAATTGCAACTCAGACATTAATGGATGATGATGGCTTAATGTACACCCCTGCAAGATAGCATTTTACCTAGAGATATCCATGCCTTATCCTGAGGGATGACTATTGTGGACATGTTAGCCACTATGCCAGGCCATTGAAGGGGATCTTGGGGGCAGTGAGGAAATTTGTGTCCAGGCCTCCACACTTGGGCCTCCATCTCTTCTCTGCCACCATGAATGCCAATCACAAATTCAACCGGACAGAAGGACCTGGTTACCACTGCATGTTAAATGCCATTCCTTCTAGGCCAATCCAAAAGAACCCTTGTCCATCTATAATAAAATCCATTTGCCTTAAAGGAATGTGGATAGGAGGGGTAAGGCTAGACTTGAGGCTGTTGAGCGGGCAAACACCCCGTGTCTATCTTGCAACTGCTAGGCTGGGTCAAAGAATCAAAGCCAGATGTTGGAAACAGGTGTGGGA